CACCTCAATTAGTTTTATAAGATAAATTTTACTGTTGTGGTATCAGAGCCACTGGATTATTTCCCCTTTTGGTCTTCAACTGTAAAAGACCACTACTGATTATTACATATATATATATATATATATATTATTATATAAGGATTTCGATTTTAAAACGTACAGGTTGTACGCAAAACGAAACGATGTGAGTTCAATTCAATTTTGAATTTTCTACACTTTCGAGAAACTCCAATGTATAGAATATTAAAAATATTTGTAATCACTGAACGTGATTCGTTTCGATGATCGATTTCGTTCATCTAAACCTAACCCAGTCCGTCGATCTTTTTCGAAAACTCTCTAGTTGGGTACTGAACTGTTGCAATTTTCGATTTATCTATCAAAATTACCAATAATGTATGTTAAACTCAAAATGCTTTAAAATATTTACGTTTATAATAAATGATGACAAAAACTTAAGAGAATTCAATATCGAAGTGTTGTTTTCGTCTTCACACATGCAACGTATAAAAACTACCCACTTTTGGTCCATCGTTACGGTAGATGTATTGAAGCGATATAAGGATTCAGAAAACAAATTCAAACTCGGTATGAAGTCTACAATCAGGACACTTTTCAGATTCATATTCTTAATTTCCTTAAATTAAATTTTAACACTATGAAAACCTTTAAATATTTTATTCTTTGCTTCAAATAAAATGATAGTGTAATTTAAAATATCGACCGGGTCGATCTCAAGTAGACTTCATCACGCCAATAGTATAGACTCAGTTTTACGTTACTCATCGTTCCAATTCGTCGACTGGAATTATGGGAAAAAAGTAGTTTTTACTATATTTCACGAGTGAATGACGAAGACACAAATCAGTACCGGTAACTCGACAATAAGGATTTTCTAGGACAAATACTGATCCAAACAATTTTATAATTTCCACGATTCGTGGTACTGAACTGAAACACTTCAAGGACATTAGTAGGGGACTCGATTCGAATTTTCTCCAAGAATGAGTCCCTCTACCGCTATTATCAGAAAAATGAAGTCGAGACGGTAGGACGTATACTACTACAGGTAATTCTCGTAGTCGGAAAATGGATCTCCGCCATAAGGGTGCGGAAATTGCGGGTCGGATAACCGCTACTACTCCCCGCTTCCTACGCACGGCGTGACGTCACTCGCTCGATCCCAACAGTGGATTGCGTGAGCGGTACGTCGTCGACGTTCACGTTCGGGCGACCGCGGAAACGCGACGCCTCCAACATTTTTCTACCGGCGGTGTCTGCGCGTTGACAACGTACCCGACCTCGACATTGACACCTCTGCCGAAGGGCGCTCATATGGTGGGCAAGGAAGGGACATGTCCTCCCCTGGAAAATGATAGAAATCTTGGAAAATTGTTTACTATGATCAAAATATATTTATTTAAATAGAATTCAAAAATTTAATAAAAGAAAATAAATAATTTGTTTATGAAAAATCTATTTATTTAGTTTGGAAAATCAAGTTATCAGCTATAAATAACAACACGCTTTTTCGTTTCTATTACATGGATAATTATCAATTCTTAAAATATTGTGTATTTCCACAAATACGGTATGTATATGTGTGTGTGTACACCCAGGGCCCCCAAATACAATTACGGGCCCCTATATTAAATGTTTGACAGGGTCCTTTATAAAACTTACAAAAATACAATTTATTATATATATATACAAAACAATTTTAGGAATAATATTTGTTTTTTTATTATATCAATTCGAATTCAAGATTCATAAGCATTTCAACATAAATAATGTCAAGTTTATTTTAATTTATACTTAATATATTTTTTTAAGTTAAAATTTTATTTTGTGGGCTTTGAGCTTAACGAACTCGGTAATGATATCGTCAAAATTGATTGTCGAAGCCGATTCATTCTCCATAGATAAAAGAGCAAGAGAGTTTAATCGTTCTTGATTAGTTGTGGATCTTTGCCACGTCTTCAGTGAATTTCCCAAGTTACTGAAAGATCTTTCTGCTTTTGCTACAGTCACTGAAATAGTACAGAATATTCCGAGACTAATACACACGTTAACAAAAATCAATAATCACTAGAACAAATCACATTTACACATTTCATGATGGTTAAAAAAAACATCTTGTACTATAGAAAATGTATTTTATGCGTATGAGTAGATCAAATTGTATTTTCAGAAAATTAACTGTCATATATTTATCAGATTTTTTTTTTTTAATAAAAACTCAAATATTATTTAAACTTGAATATAAAATGTAAAACGTTTATTCAATTTACAGAAACATAATAGTATACTTATAATGAAATCGGTAGCAGCTTATAATTTGTTAACAAAAATATATTTTTTATTTAAAATATTTACATTATTTAAAAAAAAAGAATTGTAGAGTTTACAATTATTATCATGTTTTAGTCATTTTTATGGTTTATTCTATGCACATATGCAGTTTCATAGGTTTTAGAGCATGAAATTATCTGACCTAAATTCACTGTATAATAAATCAGGTAATAAACCATTTTCAATGAGCAAAATAATTGATCTCAACATTATTCGAATAATGTGTTTGTCCTGTAATTATTTTGATTTTAATTTAATTCAAAAGGAATTCAGTACAGTTTTGAAGAAATAAAATATTCCTTTTTTATATGAGATGGAAAATGTTCATACTCAAACATTTGAACTAAATTCTAGCGACATTTATGAGACGTCTTTTAGCATAAGTTAGGAAATTCTATCCTAAAAATTATATAAAATCATAGAAACGAGTTCATCCTGAGTACTAATGTATTTCTAATATAATATCGTAAGCGTTATTATATTATTGGTTTTCCATTCTATTCAATTTTTAAATAATTTAACAAACATTGTACCATTCAATTAAACCAATTTAATTTTCGTCAGTACGCCACACTCAACTTGCATGAAAAATGTACATGCTTCGCATCAGATGAAAAACATTTTCACCAACATAAATGGGGGTTGGTGAGTTTGAATGATAATATTTTTATTGAATTAATTAATTTATAAAAATATTACGTTGATCTGTCATGCATTTAAAAATCGGATAATTAAATACAAACTAGGAGTTTTATGTTTAAATTACGGATAAGCACATGGATGCATAACTTATTTCCTGCTTCATTATAATACCGGCTGTACGCCGGGTTATATTGTGATTTGCAAAAAAAAATAATTGTTGCGTTCTTTTTTAAACCAAGATTCAATTTGCATGAAGCTGAGCACGGATAGGTGAGACAGAGTTTATATTGTTCTGTTGGTGGTAATTTTTCTAAGACAAGTACAAAAATAAGATTTTAATTTAAATGTTTATAAACTTCTGTCCTAATAAACAGAAATATCATTACATTAAGTCTATATAGAACTTTGTTGTGATTGTTGGCTGTGACTAATTTACCTCAGTTACAACCGAATGCAAAACAATTTTTAAACAAATGCATACTCTTAATGTACTCTTATTACATGCTTATTGTTTATACGTTTTTTCTAGTTTATGAAAAGATAAAGGAAAGGAATCAAATCCGAACTTGGATATTGAACAATAAAAATAATACTTTATTAATTATGGTTTTATTATTACAACTTTATTACAAATCAAAATGTAAAATACATTTTATCTTCCGGCACTTATACATAAAATAGACTTAGAATTACTTGTTTGTGTACAGACAGAAAAACATATATAAATAAGGTCAATAATGATACTGAAAACAATTCCATAATTCTTTTTTTTTTTTTTTTTGGTAATAACAAATAAAATATAAATTAAAATATAAAACAGTAAAATTTTGTAAGACATTTTTAAGTACATGTACTTTGAAGTTCCAAAATAATTATTTTAATACTGTGTTAAATATTTAGTCTATCAATCAGTCTAATTCAATTATTTTGTTTAATTAGAAAAAAAAAACTGGTGATAACATTTAATTTGGTATCAAGACACGACAGGAAAATAACTTAATAAAATAAAAATAATAAAGACTAGTTTCTTTTTTTCATCATTATTAAACATAACAATTATTATTTTGACTATTGTATTTTAAAGACAAGTTATTATCACATTTAGTAATGTTAACATATTGTGGTTTCTAGACAAGTGAGGAGTTTTTTATTTGGGCGCCACAAAAAAAAATTTAATACAATGATTTCTTTGTACTCTTCTTATTTAATATATGAATCAAATTATAGGGCTATAATTAATTACAATTTAAATTTATAGTATTATTTAATTTTTAATAACAACAATTATGATAGGAAGCAGTTATAATTATAATTACTTTGATTTTTGAAGAAATAATAAAATAACTATTACTTAAAGAAATATGACTATTGAAATAATTAGTTCTATATAAGATATTGAATATGAAAACAAATGTTTTGAAAAGTAGTGTATTTTCAATAGAATTCATTTTATTTTCATTTATGTAAAAGAAATTCCAACAGTAATAGTCTATGAAGAGTAATTAACAGGGGCCCAATATAAAATATGTATTTTTTTTTAAAACCAACTCCAAAACAAAAGTTTTTTTCATAATGTAGTAAACCCTATTTACCTAGATAAATATAGATAAAAGCTGAATATCTTAAAAAAATAGTAACAAATGTATCACAGATTATATGGTTGATTAATTTTTACCTATTATAAACAAAACAGAGCATCAGACTTAACTTACCAACCCATTAAAATAATTTTCCCTTTATTAAACAACATAACAGCCTAATGAACATCTAAAAAATGTAAGTACAGTCTATTATTGAGTATCCAGGTGGGACATATTATCCCTTACAAATAAAAACTAAATATAAATTATTTGCAAAAGAATACAAGTGTGATATGGTTTTTTTTTAATTTTAAATTTAATTTGGTCAATCAGACTTATGGTGTGCAAGATATAAATTATTGCAGCCAAAATATTTTTTAAAAACAATTTTCATTTACCATAAAAATATTTGATTTGTGTGATATTATTATAAAAGCTTTTGAATGAAATATTACCCCCAAATTACCATTTGATATATTATATACAATTATTTATAAACTAAAGTAGGCGGGTTGGTAAGAAAGAACAATAAGTGTCTACCAAGTAATTTATTTTAAATCTTGCCTAGAATCCAATTGGACTTAAAATTGTATTAAATTGCATTGATTTTATATTTGACACTATCAGAGTATCTTAATTTTAAAAAAAACCCTCATTTTTTGATCACTGATAATACATCAAAACATTATTAACAATAATTTACATTAAAATATTTAGGTTACAACACCTTGTTCCCTATTGATTGATAGGCTTAAGTTATAATTAGTCGTGTAACTTTTTTATTTTTCCAAAAGGTATTCTTAAAGTACTAAAAAATGAATATTAAAAATAAACCCTAATGCTGAGATAAGCCATAAGCTGTCATAACTCAATATGTACATATAAAATGTAGCTAATAAAAAATTGTTATATGGGCTAGTTATCAACTTAAAATAGGCTATTATTTAAACATATTTAGAATACTTTCTATTATTAAACATAACACTTGATGTATCCATTTTAAAAACCAATTCAGCATTTAAAATAGATACAACCAATGTAATAAATAATTTATTATTCTAAACAAAGTGCCGGCACTTACCCATGCACATAAGAGCACACAATGATTTGTTGTTGGTTTTCTTGTGTTTTTTACTGTTTATATTGTCATAGCGCGATATTAGTGCCTAGTGGACATGATGTAGCCATATTAGACACTGGCCGGCTTTTTGCTGACCTAGTCAGATTTGGAACTGAGCGTGGGTGGTCATCGCCTTTGGCCATATCTCAGGATCTTCTCCTCGCTATGTCCTTGCTGGAAGTCGTTGATGTACTGTCTGGAATACACAATACAATATTTTCATCAAACCCAAGTCAAAACGCCATTATTATATAATATAAAATAATATTGCTAAATTAATGAATAATATACATTTAAAGTAACAAAAATAGTATAGACAAGTGTGTATGCTTTGTAGTAAATAATATAACCCACAATATGTAAACCACAAAATGAATTATGTTCTTAAATTTAAATAGGTCATAGTTATAATAATATAAACATTGGTAAGACTTGGGAAGGATTAAAGAAGTACATATTAGTGATTATTTTTTTCAGAAGCTTTACAAGTGTAATATTGAAAATGTTTAATACGTAAATAATAACAATAACAAAGTGCTTAATACTTTGGTACAATTGCACAAAGAGGAAGGTCAATTTTATGTTATAAAGAATTGAATAGTGCAATTTGGGTCAATATGAATATAATGAATGTTGAGTGGATATTGTTAGTTAAAGGAACTTTAGAGATACATAAATGTATCATAAAACACAAAATGACTACATGGTAACATGGTTAAACGTGCAAATTGGCTATATCCAAACAGTGACAATATATGGGTGATTTAATGATGACTGGAAACCAAGAGATTTATATAACAATATAGGAACATGCATATTGTAAGAATTAGAGATTGAAAAAAAAGCATCTACTAGTGGCCACAAACCCAAATAATTAAGAGGACTTCTTTTTTCCCTGTAGAGAGAAGGGAATGCAGCAGAATAAAAGTTCTATACTACATTAGCATTATAGTCACTCACTGTCTTTGGATTTAGACGTCAGCGACCGCCTGAGTTTGTCAACAAGTTTCGAGTGGAATATGTTAAGTGACGACGTAGATGATACCTTGGGCGGCGACGACGATGATGATGAGGACTTGGCAGGGCTCTGAAGACTAGACTGCGAGTTTCTGGACGAGTTTCTAGACGCCACACCGTGGTGATTCTGCTGGCTACCGTGGTGGAAAGCCGTGTGCCTAGATACAGCACCGAGTGACCGATGAGCTGGCGAGCTGACCATGAAGTCACTGCCGGGTGATGTGGATAACGACGGGCCGTCTGCGGATCGGGAACCACTGTGTACTCGTCTGGTACCGCACGAGGAACCCGATGAGCCAGAAGTTTTGTCGTTGGAACACTCGGACACGCGTCTGTTCCGGTTCGATTTGTAAATGTTGTAATCATTTTTCACTACGGGCATCATAAAGGCCATGGTACCGGTGTGGTGTTCACAGGGAAAACAATAAAAAAAAACCGATTCTAAACTCTGATGATTTTTTTTCACGCCCGTATTCCGCGTACACTTCAATATTAAGTTCAAATAATATAATATTTTCTGTTTATAAAATATTATTTATATCTCTGTTTTGTCACTTTGCGTGTTATTTTTATCGTATCGGCACAGCCGTACACGGTATAAGACGAGCACGACAACTGTACGTGCAACAATGACAATAACGGGTGTATAATATGTGATTTATATTTTTAAAATATAATAACGATTCGAATGATAATGTTTGAAACGGTAAATATTTGTTATTATCAACTCGCACTGAAAAACTGTTACCGGCACGCACGTCAGTCGGCAACTGGCGGGAATTTATAAATTCGATTACGGATAAGGACGACGGGCAAACGAGCGATATCTCAACTACATGTATATATAATAATAATATATATATATGTAATGAGCGCGCGCGCGCGAGATTATCTTAGAATAAAAAATGAAAAGGAAAAAAACAAAAACGTTTCTGTAACGATACGGATTTCGTTTCTCTCTGGTGTTCCGCTGGACGAGTCGAACGTTAAGAACGGAGCGCGAGTCGTGACTATGTGCAACGCAATGCAACGGAATGAGAATCACTTTGGCCGTGTGACCTTTCCGTCCGTGCGTGCGTTACCACCACTACCATTTACCATCGTCGGCCGTAACCACTCCTCCCCGCCACGCCACGCATGGCTGGCATAACGTTATGAAACCCGTCACGCCGCCTACCACCACCACCGCCGCCGCCATCGTCGGCGGTGGCCTCGGGGACGCGACGGTTACACCGGTCGGTCGGCGTCCTAAAACCCGTCGGACTGGTGAGCGGACGGGGCGGCGAGGGGGCTTCAGGCGTTCGTCGTCTGGATGTTATTGATCCGAACCGTTCCCGCGGCCCGCCGCCCCATCACCACCGAGGATGGCGTACGTGCGTGCGTGCACGACGTCGTTGTGTGTAACCGCTTTTTTCATCGCTCGGCAACTCGT